CAAGGTATAGTCCTTTCTCATAGTTCCAAGTACACTGATTTGATATCTTATACATTATTGCTTTAACACTACTTTTAGAGAGAGTCTTAAATTGTTTTGGCTGGTCTAGTTGCTTTAACTTTCCTAGTCATTTAAAATTTCCCTCTTATAGTTACCACAAATTTACTGGTCATTTTATTGGTGTTGCATTATGTATGTACACAACTGTGGGAGAGAATTCCTGTCTCTATTAAGTTTAGTTTTCCAATCCATTAACAAGGCATGCTTATTTATTTAAGCATCCTTTGATTTATGTAATTAGTGTTTTATAGTTTTCAGCATATAGCTACTAAACATCTTTATCTAAGAATTTTCTTCCATTTTCTAATGTGAATGGTATGCTTGAAAACTTTCATCTCTAATTATGCATTGCTTGAATTTGGAAATATTGCTAGATTTCACACCAACCTTATATTCTGAGATATTACTGAACTTAAATATTTACTTCTTGGATTACTTGGGGTTTTCTAAAAAAATTGTCATCTGATAAGAAGAAAAATTCAAGTATCCATTAAAAATCTCTTCATTTTTTTCCTTACTCTTACTTCTATTTTGGTTCTGTCTGTCTTGCCAATGAATCACTGAAATATCTATGTACAAGTTTTGATATATCTTTTTGCCCTTTGCTTCCTTTTATCTTGCCTTACTGCACTGATTAGGATTACAGTATAATCCTGACCAAGAGTGGTGATGTGGACTTTCTTGAATTTTTCCTGATCTTACGGGGAAAGATTTCATATTTTTCACCTTAAGAATGATGCTGTGTTTCAAGCATGTTATCTATCTGTGCTGTTTTGCTGAATGTTGTTATCATGAGTGGATATTGAATTTTGCCAAACATCTTTTTACATCAGTGAAGATATGATAGTATAGGTTTTCTTCTTTAGACATTTAATATGCTAGACTGTATTGCTTGCTTTCCTCATGGTGAGTCAGTCCCGAAACCACTAAAAGGAAGAACACCCACTTGGTCACAGTATATGCTTCTTTTTATTTATTACTAGATAAAATTTGTTAAGATTTTGTTGAGATTTTTTGTGTTCATGAGAGATATTGTGCCCTACACCTTTATTTTTTTCAGCTCTCCGATTTTGGTATCAGGGTAATGCTGACCTCTTAAAATGAGAAGTGTTTACCTTTTGCTTTCTAGAAGAGATTATATCATCTTGGTATCATTTCTTCACCTTGAAAGTTATGCTGGACACATTTCTTTGTAAAGATAGTCCTTTGATCACATTAAAATGTTTTACACTTCTTAAGACCTGATTAATTTCTAAAGAGAAACCCATAGGCATTTAAATTGTTATTACTCTATACATAGCATTAATTTTATCCTTTCTATACATTGAATATATCTGGACAACTTTTGGATTTATCTTTTTTTTTGAAGAGGCCCTTAAGCTGTCAGGTTCATGTCTCTTGCTCAGTTTGGAATAATTTTAGTTATTACGTATTCACATATTTTTTCTCAACATTACTTACTCGCTCCTTCAGCATCTCTAGAAACAAAATGTTAGGTTTTATTATATCATCCTACAGATTATTGTAGCTCTGTATGTTTTTTCTCACCTTTTCCCTCTCTATTGTTCAACTTAGCTAATTTCTATTGATTTATCCTTAAATTTATTGTCTCTTTCAAATCTACTCTTCTATTGTACCCTGCAAGTTTCTGTTACTGTATTTTTCTGTCTTACAATTTCAATTTTCTACTACTTCTTACTTCTTTGCTGAAACTTTTCTTTTTGGTTTTTCAAGACAAGGTTTCTGTGTGTATCCTTGGCTGTCCTTGGACTCATATGTAGACCAAGCTGGCCATGAAGTCACAGAGATCTGTCTGCTTCTGCCTTCTCAGTGCTGGGATTAAAGGTGTGCGCCACCACTGCCTGGTTTTTGTTAAAACTTCTAATGTTTACATTCATTTAAAGATCATTTGTCATCAGGCGGTAGTGGCACAGGCCTTTAGTTCCAACACTTACAAGGCAGAGGCAGGCTGAATCCTTGTGAGTTCGAGACCAGCCTGGTCTAGAGTAGGTTCCAGGACAGCCAAGGCTACACAGAGAAACCTTGTCTCAAAAAATAAAACCACTTTTTTGACACTTAAAATTTTGTTATGTAGAAATATTTAGTTTTAACTTGTAATCAACATGGTTTGGTTTAGAACACAAATTCTGACCTGCAGTGTGTGGATTATAGTGCCAAAGCTAATCAAGTTTTGAGAATTATGCAGGACTCTCATATCTATCTTGTATTTTTGTTTGTTTGGTTGGTTTTTTTGAGTCAGGGTCTCATTGTGTAACCCAACCTGACCAGGAAATTGCTATTAACCTAGGCAAGTCTTAATCCCAGTATCCTCCTGCCTCAGTCTCCTAAATTTGTGATCACACACATATTTTAACCAGCAGCTTGTCTACAATCTGGAGGTTTCTTAATTATCATAGTCTTTTGTATGCTGTTCCATGTTCATTCAGGTTGGAGTGAATTTAGGAATTCATAAACAACTTTTTTCTTTTGAGATTCTTCTCCATGGTCTCCCTGGCAATCTGGAATTCCTTGGAGTGCCTTTATTGGGTTCTTAGAGAGAAATCTACATATTTACTTTTCTCTACTAGTAACTTCTTGTAACTTTGTCTGACAGTAAGCAGTAGAAGAATGGACAGATGAAGAGGGAGGGAAGGGGGAGAGTGGGGAGGAGGAAGACACACCCACACACAGACACAGATACACATAGAGAGACAGAGAGACATACAGAGAGACAGACAGAGAGAAATGAATACGAACCATTGGGGAACAGCCCCCAGTGTCTTGGGATCACAGCCGCTCTAGGCAGAGAGAAAGACAGTCCCCACTCCTGTCAGTCTGAGCGCATGAGGGTACGGCATTCTTTTTTTAACCAATGCAGCTGCCACAGTACAGGAAAGAACAAAGAAAAAACTTATTTCTTCTATGTTCTTTGAACATTAGGAGACCTATTTCCCCTTTTTCTGGAGCTCTTTTTGTCCATGTCTATTCACCCTTCTAGGTTTGCTTGAGTCTGGTATTGAGTTGGGTTCAACTCCGGTGTTCTTCATGAAGTTCCCTGTTGTCTTCATTTCAGAATGTTTAAATGGCTTCACTATGCGTTCTCCTCAGGTGTTCTGGGCTGCATTGGATCTTGCTTTGTTGCCCAGGCTAGCCTTGAATTCCTGATTCAATTCTTCTCACCTCAGCCTCTCGAGTAGCTGGGATTTATAGAGGTGTGCCACCACACCCAGAGAGAATCACACAGTTGAGTGTATTAATCTGTGTTAATTGGAATCCAAATCTCTGGGTTGAATAAGATAGATTGCATATATAAATATGTATAGCTAATGGAGTCTTTGGTGTATATGTGTGAATATCAGGTGAGTTTTTTCATGTTCTTCTTGAGGCAATCACTTTATGTAATGATTAATCTTTTGGTTGTCTATTGCTGTGGAAGAAGCTGTCATCAAATAGTAACGTAAGGTCTATGAACATAGCAACAATCATTTCATTATCTCGGTTTCAGGCATTGCCTAGGCTCAGCTAGATGGTTCTTATTTGCAGTTTCTTTTGTATTTATGGTGGAGTAGGAAAAGATCCTGGCTAAAATCAAGATGAAGAGATTCCATGATGTGAAGAGGCACTAAGTAGTCTTGGCTAAATGCTCACCTAGAGGAGGATGGTGGTGTTCTGAACAGATTTCCTATCTTCTTCAGCAAATCCTCTTGCTGCAAACTCCTGGAGTTTGGAGGAGAGAGCATGGGCAGTTGGTGGGGAGAGAGATTCAGTAAATGTGAATAGAGTGCTTGACAACAGGCAGTGACTGACGTGTTCAGCTTTCTTTTCTTTCTTGACTAGAGAAACAAGGTGGGTTGAAAACTCTAGTTATTAGGATTTCTTCCAAGAGGTTTTTATCTCTGAAGACCTTGTCATAATTCTGAGTTGGGCTTGACCCTAATGTTCAAGTAAAGACTCACCTGTTTTCTGAGTTAACAGGAAGATAACATTAAAAGTATCATCATGATAAATTGCCCCTCCCACCCTCCTTAGGGCTGACCATTGGCCACTCTTCTTCTCAGAATGGCAAGAGTTCTTAGTTCCCTCCAATTCAACCCTCTTTTCCGCAAGGAATTAGTTGAAGTCTAATGATGGAGTTACTTATTTCATCGCTCTCACCGATTGCCATTACCTATCCTTATTTGAATAATGCCTGGAAGACTCTGGGGGAGTCCCTATACTCCAAAAGGTGACAAAAGGGGTCTCTCTCTCTCTCTCTCTCTCTCTCTCTCTCTCTGTGTGTGTGTGTGTGTGTGTGTGTGTGTGTGTGTGTGTGTGTGTGTGAGAACAGTAATATGGTTTTGTAACTCCTGGGAGGCCCCACTTTGCTGGGCTCACAGAGGCCACACACCCGCGTGACACCAAACTCCTAGCGGTGGCGCTAGGAACAGGACTGGAGATCTCGCAGCGAGTCAGTCCCAGCTGCTGTTTCTTGCCAGGAGCAAGTGACCTCTGCAGTCCCTTTTAGGTAGCGTGAGGGCTACTACCCAGAAACTGGTTAGCAGACCCCAGACGGTCTGACCAGGGACTCCTGGACAGGACGGTCAGCGCGGCGCCACCAAAGGGCTGGCTGCCCGCCTGGCGGAGAAGGAGGACAGAGCCCGCCCCACCCGGACAGCCGGGTGGCCGTGCTCTAGGCCAGGGCGGGGGGGGGGGGGGGGGGGGGGGGGGGCACGACGACAATGACGACGAACAGGTGCGCGGGCGGGGGGCGGCGCTTGGGGATCCTGCGCACTGCGAGCGCCCCTCCCCCGCAGCTTGGCGCAGCCCTGGCCGGGCGCTAGCGGCAGGAGGAGGAGCTGCGGCTGGAGCCACGGGCTAGGTCGGCACCGCGGGAAGCTGCCGACGACTGCGCGGGCTGTTGCTGGTCCCCGCGTGAAAGAGGCGCGGGCAGCCCTGGAGTCATGGAGCCTAGTGACGCGGCGCACCCCGGTCCAGGGAGGGCTGTTTGGAAGTTGGCGCCTCGGCTGCTGCTGCTGCCACTGTTGCCAGTGCTGCTGGGTCGGGGGCTGTGGCTCGGGGCCGCGGCCTCCTCCTCTGGGGCGGCGGCTGAGGACAGCAGCGCCATGGAGGAGCTCGCCACCGAGAAGGAGGCGGAGGAAAGCCACCGGCAGGACAGCGTGAGCCTGCTCACCTTCATCCTGCTGCTCACCCTCACCATCCTCACCATCTGGCTCTTCAAGCACCGCCGGGTGCGCTTCCTGCACGAGACCGGGCTGGCCATGATCTATGGTGAGTTCCCTGCCACTGCCCGGCCAACATCCCTTGGGCGGCCGGCTGTGCTCCTCCGGGTTGCCGCACAGTTCTCTGGCTTCACTTCCCAAGGAGTTTCTTCTTTTGCGTTTCCAGCTGAGACGCTGTGGCTTTCCAAGGTCAACTGTCTGCATTTTTATGACTTTGTGCTATGCTTAAAAGCATTTTTGTCCCATTTCAACGTTTCTTTACCAGGAACCAAGATGAAAGACACAGAGGAGATCTCTTAGCCCCTCTGCTTGATTATGTTTCTGTTGTGCCCCTCTCCATCAGCCTTGATCCCCTTTCCTACCCCAGTTTAGATCTGTAGAGGACACAGGGGCAGGAGGTGGGTGATTTCTCAGGGAGCTGTGCCGCGCCAGGGGACAGGCCCCAGAGGGGTGAGAAAGAGGTCTGAATGTGAGTCTTGACTTTGGGCTGCCCATGATGGTCATTCCAGGTAGGGGCTCACTTCTGAGGGCTGTGTTCTCTTTATCTCTTGTCAATAATGTCCGAGGAGGAATGAAAGGTGAGTGTGGTCTAGGACTCAATGTAGTGACACCACTATGTCAGGCCTAACTATTGAGACAGGAATCCTTAATGTCCCTTGGGAAGTTATACCTATTTCCTTGCTTTCTGCAAGCCAAGGGTAGCTCTTCTACCCCTAAATTGGTAACAAGGAGCAACTTTGAAGAAACATTTTTGAGTGTATGGAGGGAAAAGTGATGGTTTTGATTCTTTTGTTAAGGATGGGCTGATATCACTTTCCTTTCTGGATTGAATAGTACACAGCATGTTGCGTGGACAGGGTTATGACGGGGATAATAACAGTCACAATCTGAGTCATCCTTTTTTCTCTCTGTGCCTCCTGTCGTTCGCTCCCACCCCAGTCACTCCAAACTTAATTCAGGGGTGTGGAAGCCCCAAACCAGCATTCTCCAATGAAATAAAAGAGCCCCCCTTCAGAACTGTCTCCCAAGCCAGAGCATTATTCTTCATCACAGTATACTCCAGTTTTTACCCATGAATCCCTGACGAATAGAAATTAATCTTTAATTTCTTAACTTTAAATGTGTGAATTACCCTTGGTCCTGGACCTTTTGGGTCTCATGGTTCTTGGTTAGTTATTACTAACCAGGGCTTATGGCTACCAAACCCTTTCAAACAAATTGTATAAGGGACTAGTTGGGAGTCTTTCAGTTTGGAAGTAGTGACCTAAACAGATTTTGAAACCGTAAAATCAAAAATCTAGGTGGTTATGGGAAATCACAAGTCTCAGGCCAGACTTTGGCCTCCATACTTGATCAAGGAGCCTCTGTAGTTTGTTTTAGTTGGTAACAAATCAATGACATGAGGAAAGCATGTAAACCGAGATGTTTCCTGGGCAGATAGTGAGTGAGGAATTGAAATATGCCGCCATCTTAGACGATTGCCTCAGAGCCATGTTGGAAATGAAGGACTGCCTTTGTATGTTTATACAAAGCTATGAGCATATATTTATCTTATAGGTCTCAGAACCAACTCCTTAAAGAACAGTGAGAAATAGGTAGTACATTTGACAGACTCATAAATGCATGCTCAAAGACAAAATAAATGGGGATAAAAATATGTGTTCTGAGGATTATTCTATGTTCATAGAATTCAGTAATTTTTATCTTTGGATTTTGTTCGAGACAGGGTCTTGCAGAGTAGCCTAGACTGTCCTGAAATTTACTGTGTAGCCTTGGTTGGCCTTGAATTTAGGGCAGTCCTCCTGCCTCAGCCTTCTGAGTACTGGGATTGCGCGTGTGAGCTACCACACCCAGCTCCAGCCATCTTTATCATAAGGCTTAAAAACAACAGTAGGCTTTTCTTGCACTCATATATACTTCAGAAAGTCACCTCACTTTTTCAGTAATTGGGGCCACATGCCAGTGTGCTCTTTCATTTTGTGGATAGTCATGTTCTAAATCTCATGATATACCTGTGGCATTTTCTTCTATGGCTTTTAAATGTATGAGAAATTTATTTTGTCAAAGTGTGAATTCCTGGGTTATGTCAAATATTAATATGTTGATTTGGGTTGTTTGTAATTGTGAGAAAACATTTCTTTCCAGGACATTTGATCTTCTGTTTCAATTCTCGATCAAAATCTGAATTCTAATTTTAATTGATTACTAAATTTTCCACTATGTACTTAAGATTATTAGAGTAATAAGGCAGGAGTCTCTGACTCTGCAGATGTGCCTTAGTGTACACACATGAACACACCTGTGCTCACACATGCATCTGCCCACAGACAAAGAAATCTGATTTATTTCTCAGTATCCATAGAGGAAGTGAGTAGTTGTCCTCTTGTCTCTGAGTAATAAAGGTCAGGAAGGCTTAGGGATATACTTGTTGAGGATCTGCTCTGCCCTGGGTATGCATATTAATTTCTGGAAGCTACAATTTAACTTCAGAAATTTTTATGAATTAAAATGTTCAATTTTGAAATCCAAAACCCTTCAAGTTTGAAAAGTCTCTTTCCTGTAATCTATTTTATTGGCATATATTCATTGTACATATTACTGGTTTTCTTAAGAACATTTGACACAAGTAATTAATGTATTTTGACAGTGTTTTCCTCATCCCCTGCTGTCCTCTACTTTTTTCTCCTCCTGCTCTTTCCCTTTCTTCCCCCAGCTTTCCTAATGCTGTGACCCTTTAATACAGTTCCTCACATTGTGGTGACCCCCACCCCAAAATGCTACTTCATAACTGTAATTTTTATGAATTCTAATGTAAATAGTTTTGGAGACAGAGGTTTGCCAAAGGGATCACAGCCTACATCTTGAGAACCACTGTTTTAGACATTCAAGCTTCTATTTTCATGTCATGAGTTTTTGTTATATCTATAAAGTCTGGGATTCACAAATGAGAGAAAATATGCAATATTTGTCTTCTTGAGTCTGACTTAATTTACTTATCGTGATAATCTGCTACTGCACACCACATAATTTCATTATTCATGGATGAGTAAAATTCCATTGTGTATATGTAGCACATTTTCTTTATCCACTTTTTCTGACGACAGACACCTAAGTTGGTTCCATAGTTTAGCTGTTGTGAGTCCTGCTGCAGTAAGCATGGATGTGCAGGGATCTCTTGTCTTGGAGTCCTTTGAGTAAATACCCAGGAGTTTCCCACCTTTTTCTATTGAACTGATATTTATTTTGAGAGGAATAGATTTAGTATTAAACAAATAAACTAGTATAGGTATAAATATCTATGGAAGTATATGTAATGGACTATTCATTGGTTTCCTTAGGGGACAGAACCTTGGTAGCTATGACTTTTTTTTTTTTTTTTATTTTTCGAGACAGGGTTTCTCCGTAGCTTTTGGTTCCTGTCCTGGCACTAGCTCTTGTAGACCAGGCTGGTCTCGAACTCACAGAGATCCGCTTGCCTCTGTCTCCCGAGTGCTGGGATTAAAGGCGTGCGCCACCACCGCCCGGCTGGTAGCTGTGACTTTTGAGCGGAAGGGAGATGTCGTTATGTACTTATTTGTGCATTTTGGTTTTTGAACTGTAGAAGTGTAATTACCTAGTAGCATGTCTATGCCTCCTTTCTGTATCAGTTGTGATGTGTGTGTTTCTTAAATCACTGAATGTGACACCCACTTCTCCCTATTTATATCATGGTATGCCATCCCATTGTCCCCAGGGAGTAGTTATTTCGTTAGGAATTTACACCAATAGATCTTGTAGTAGTAAGTATATGTTTCGGTACAAAGGACCTAAAGACAGTAAGAGATATATTGTGAATGTTTAGCATTTGTAGTAAAAGACAAGTACTAAGGATAGTGCATTCATCCCTGACAAGAGGCCAGGGTGCTACTAGGCACAGTATTCCCAGACCTGACTTTCTAGGGAGTTTGAACATGCCAGCTGTAGATATCTGTGTGAAGCATGGCACCAGTCTACCCTGTTCCATTGCACTAGGGAGCTTCCAGTTGTCTCGGAAGTTACAGGGTCCTGCATGTTTGCACAGCCGAAATAACAAATTTTTGAGGCAGGGGAAGGTGGCATAAATAGCCTGTCAGTTAATTGTGGTTCTCATGTTTACAGTAGTTCTACTTCCTCTATAGTGTTTTTGTGACAAATGACGTGTATCCAAAATATCTGTAGACGACACTAGCCCGCCACCTGCTTCTTAATTCTCCTTTTTCCATGTCTGCCAGCTTTCTGAAGACTTATTGGTCAGCCATTGCAAAGTTTTTTGGGTTGTGGGTTCCTTGCTGCTGCTCTGTTGATGTTGCTAAGCACAGCCTGAGAGTCGACCTTCCAGACAAAGTATGAAAGGATCAAATATGATGTAGGAACATTAGTCTTACATTTGGGTATCTGTGTTGGTGAGATTCTCATTGCTTTGACCAAATACCAGAGAGAAACGACTTAAGGGAGAAGGATTGGTTTTATCTCCATGATTTCAGCCTGCCATAGTGTGGAGGGCTTAGTGGAGCACAGGGGTTTTCGTTATGTTGCCCAGGAAGCAGAGAGTGTGCCTGCTGAATTGGCTATTTCTCCCTCCCCCCTTTTTATTTAATCCAGTTCCCCATCCATGGAATAGTGTTGCCTACTTTCAGAGGAAGTCTTTCTTAGATTATCCTCTCTGGAAACACCTTCACAGATACATCCAAAGGTACATTTCAGCATTCTAGGTGCTTCTCTGTCCAGTCATATTATGATCATAGTTAACCCTTCTTTACAAGTTTATTGGTTGAGCCACAGTACACAAACACATCTCTTTCATTCATAACATTGCACCGCTAAAGGCTCATAACTCATATTGTAAATTAGATTTAGTCCATCTCCAAAACCCCCAGTCTCAATAGTTCCAGCACTGCTTAAAAGTTCAAGTCCAAATTTCCTCTGAAGAATGAAATCAACTCTTAGCTGTGAGCCCCTGTAGAATAATGGCACAGAGGAGATTACCTATTCTAAAAAGGAGGATAGGGAAATAGAAAAGAAGGATCAGAC